ATAATATATAATATTATTATACTTAATGATTATATATTATTATATTAATATATTATACTGTATGATATATACTTTAATTATAAAATACATGCTTATAATCATATGTAATATATAATAATACAGTATATATAACATACAAAATACGTGTTAACTGACTGTTTATGTTATGGGTAAAGCTCCCAGTCAACAGTAGTCTATTAATAATTAAGTTTTGGAGGAGTCAAACTTATATGCAGATTTTTGCCTGCAAGTGACCTCTGCATTGTTCAAGGGCCAACTGTAATTCTGTTGCACATTATATATAACTAAATATAAATGGCACATAAGATAAATTTACAGCTAACTTATTTTAAAAACACGCATTTTAGTAATTATGGGAGTCTCTATATTTCTTCTATTTAAAAAAATGGAACAGAGTTCAAGTTAGAAGATTTTATGCACATTTCTGGGTATAAATACCAACACTAATAAGCAATACCGTAAAATAAAAAACTGGCAACAGAAGTAACATTCCTCATTACAACTTCACGAGTAACGTGTGCTGAGGGCCACTGGTTTGCAAATACAAGAAGCTTACCAACATATCTATAAATACGTTCATGCCAAAATAGTTAACAACATGACAGCTGCGCACATAACAAAGAATTCGAGAAAGTTGTCACTGAATCGGGAAGCCTAGTCCTACTTTACTTATTTTTAAACATTTTATTTATTTATTTATTTGGAGAGTGAGTGAGTGAGCGGCAGGCAGAGGCAGAGGCAGAGGCAGAGGCAGAGAGAGAATCTCAAATAGACTCAGTGTGCTGAGTGCAGAACCCAATGCGGGGCTCGATCCCACGACCTTTCGATCACAACCTGAGCCCAAATCCGGGCTGACTGAGCCACCAGGGTGCCCCAGACTATCCCTACTTTAGACAGACAGAGATAATAGCTAATACTTACTTACAGCTTACTATGTGCTGCACGCTGTTCTAAGTGCTACATATCTGTATCGATCTGTATCTATATCATCTGTAACTATACCTACATCTTTATCTATATTAACTCCTTTATCCCTTACAACAACGCTCTCGGGCTATACCATTAGCATTCCCATTTCAAAGACAGGAAAACTGAGGCAAAGGGGAGTCTGGACTTCCCCAAAGTTGCATAGCTGGTGACTGGTGGAGCTGGGATGCAAGCCCAGGCTCTAGAGCCCCCACTCTTCACCCCCTCTCCCCCCCCCCCCACTGCAGGGCCTCTCCACATAAATACAGAAAGTCAGGGAAGATGGCCAGCTTTAGACCCCTCTCATGTTCTATACAGTTTAATTTTGATAACCAGGTTACCGACTCTTTTAAGAGTCAATAAGATTAAGTTTCTATAGAGATCAAAGACAGTAACAGATGGAAGAGGGGGGTGCACCTGCATCTCTCTGCTTCCAAATGATCTAGTGCAGAACAAAGTCTCCCTGGGCAGAAGTTACATGAGAAGGTGGGTAAAGCAAGAAACAAGGAGGTGTTGCTTTCGGCAGGAAGCAGAAAGAAGCGCACGTCCATGGGAACAGAAGCACAGCGTGGCTGGTATCTGGCGGATGAGAACTCCGGGGCTGGGGAGCACAGACAGGTGATAACAGGGGAGCAGGGAGGCCCCTCAGAGTCCCCCTTCCGGAGGTCCCAGAGTCCATGGCTGCCTGTCCTCAGCTACCCTGTTGTTCTAGACTTCCGTTTAGCCAGCACATCAGGTAAAGAAGGTAATGCCTGTCGGGCCGTACATCTCAGGTCTCCCCTGCACAGAGATCCTTGTTCTAAAACTGGACAGATCAGAGGGATCCACTGCATTTTTCATATCGAAAGGGCTAAGAGGCAAAGCATGTGCTCAGATCACTGGGGTTTTGAGTGCTATCGTACTGCTGCTTGTAATAAAGGTATTAGCTTCATAAACCTCGTGCACCTTTGTGAGACGAAGCACCCAGTAATGATCACTGTGGCCACTCCTAGTGTCACTACCATTTATCATTGCTGGCCTCGGGCAGGGCACTGCACACAGGCGATAAATAGTTCAAACCACACAGCACGCAGCCCTACTTCATCAGAAGCTCTAGGGCAAAGCCAGAGAATCAGTATTGTTAGAATCCCACCAAGGGATTCTTATCTTGGCCCATGTATCCCCACTTTATGTACAAGGTACTAAGCAGTAAGGCGATCGCCAAAGATAACGTCACTACATGTAGGATTTGAACTCAACCAGACTTCAGAACCTGGCCTCTTAACTGCTCTGTGGTCCAAGCTCCAACAATTAAGCTTGTGACTAAAAAAAGGCACAAAGTAAGCAAGATGGCCTTCAATACCCACGAGGATCTATCAGCACCAACCTGTATATTGTCTCACAATTTCCCAAACTGGTATTCTCTGTAAGCATACACAGAGGTTTCCTATTTTAAATTAAAAAAGAAAATAACAATGCATTGGATTTCTCCCACATTTGTAGCAAGTCACTTCATTTCATTTTATTATTATTTTTTAAAGTAGGCTCCGCGCCCAGCACGGAGCCCAATGTGGGGCTTGAACTCACGACCCCGTGATCCAGACCTGAGCTGAGACCAAGAGTCAGACACTTAACTGACCGAGCCACCCAGGCGCCCTTACAACTCACTTCATTTTAGCAAGATTTGGGTCTCTTTTAGCAATTCCAGTGCTTCATCAAATGGGACTGTCTGCATTAGAAGGGCAACCAAATCCCTGCAATAATTAGGCAATGTGGGAAACTGAAAGTAGAGTAAATGTGCAAGCAATGAGAGAGGCAGAACAATAAGGGTAGCTATCCTTTACCGCAAGACGTTGACTTTCTGTCCACCATATTCACACGCCTGGTCTCAGTGCGGAGCTTCCCATCTGTGTTCTCCACCAGGTTGGCAAGGTCATCAATTATCTCTAGAAAGGAAGACAGAGATGCGTGGTTAATACTCCAGAAATACTCCAGCTCACATCACAGTGTCAGAGCTGTGGCCTCCCTACTAATCAATTCTCTCCTGTGCAGTGAGGGGAAAGGTAAAGAGCTCATGTATGTTCTTTGAAATCTGCAATTCTGATTCATAAAAGGGGGTGGTGGTGCTGTGGGGGGAGTAGTAGTAAAGAAGAAAACTGATTTCCCGTGAGACTGGGACACAGAGAAGGACTGTCAGAAATCCAAGGGAAAGAAAGCAGGACCCAGCAAAGTTATGCTTGGCCAAGTTGTCATTCCAGCATAAAGCTGGTGGATGGACTATGGGAGACTCCAGGGACTACTGGGGTCCTTCTCGAGAAAACAGCTTGATGATGAAATCTAGCCAACCAAGAGGCAAGTAGAAATAAAGAACTCTAGGATGGAGAGGCCAGAGACCATGACCGAAGAGATGCTGGAGAGATCTGGGGCCATCGAAATACTGAGCTGGGGATCAGCAGATACATGGATTACTTTACAAAAAGGTAGATAAATGTTGTAAACAGTGATGCTCTAATTATAACTGAAAGTCAGGAAGCAGTTGGGGGGTTGGGGGGTTTGGGGTTGGAGGGAGAAAGGTGGAAGGAAGTTGGAGGTGTTAATTTCTCCATCACTTCACAGAGGAGTCCTATCGAGCTGTTGAAAAGGGAAACATGGAGACCCACAGCTTTTCAAAACCACCATCTTTTTTTTTTTGTCAACCTTAGACGGATCTTTTAGTAATTACTATCTCTTGTCAAGAACACTTTATGTGAAGTCAGCTTTTCTTCTTTTTTTTTTTAAACACTAATCCTCTTCTTTTAAAATTGGAAGTATCGTTGACACTACGCTAATCTCCTTAAAGTGAAATTAAGCACTTAGCAACACTTAAAATAGTATATATTGCATGATCCTAATGATATAAAATTATTTCTATCCACCCTTTCATATTGGACAAACCTACAAGGATATTTCTGGATGATGTCAACCTAATGTGAATAATGATTATTTCTAGGTACTGGGATCCTGGATGATCTTCCTTGCATTTTCTGTACCGTTTGAATTTCTTCTAATGAGTACACATTATTATTTCAATTTTGGTTCCTGTTCCTCACTCCTTCCTCCCTTGCTCTTTTTTGTTGTTGTTGTTGTTGCTTTAGAGATACACTATCCAATATGAGTCACTGTTTCTGTTAAAGAAATAAAAGGAATCAAAGGAAGTTTCCAGAAGGATGCTGGAGCTGAGTTTTGAAGGCCGTGTCGGTGAAGAGGTAGGAAGAGAGCAACGCGTATGCAATGAACAGCATGTGGAAGGCACAGAAGAGCTGGCTGCTCTCTCCTGGCTCCTGCAGCCCTTCCTACCACCTCTGTTTACTTACGGACCTTTAAACTTCGCATCTAATGATTTGCTCGCATGTCTTTCCTTTGCGGGAAGAGTATGACAGAGACTCCCTTTCATTCATGGCTCTACCTGTGATGCCCAGGAGAGTGCCTAGTACACAGCCAGATGAAATAAATACAGATAAACACAGATAAAGGCAACGAATGGATGAAGTCTAAAAGAAAGACATAATTTCAAAGCACTCTGCTGCATCTTAGACTAAGCCAAATTTGTCAAATATTACCTATAGAACACCTGCCTAGAAAACCTTTCACTGCTATTTAACAATTCACTCATGACTCTCTATTCCTTCATATTCAGTGACATTCTCTCTCCCCGTCTTCCTTCCATCTGTCTCCAAGCTCTGTCTAGAGTCTCCTCTTTCCCTTAAATGCTGACAATCCCACACTGCTGTGTATTTTTACTCTAGTACTACCATGGTGATTTTACATACCTTTTGGTGTCCTCAATATGTAAATTAAAAACTTGAAAATCTGCTCCACATAGCTCTCCAAAATTCTGGACTCAGGCAGCGAACTGCCTACTACTTATCTGTACCCTGAGATTTCTACAAATATCGGACTCTCAAGGTCTCTGAAACTAAACTCTTCATCTTCCCCTAAACCTGAGTCCCCTCCTACATTCCCTGTCCCCATCAATGGCACCGACATTCACTTGCTGGCCCAAGCCAGAAATCTTCAGTCACTCGGCCTCCCCCCCTTCCCCAGCTCGGACATGCCACTTGCAGCCACTCAGGTGACCCTGCCTCTGGGATCTCTCGATCCCACGATATCGCTTAAATTCTGTTACTCATATCTCACAAAATCGTGCCAGTGTTTCCAAAAACAATGTCCTAACTTATCTTCCTGTTGCTAGTTCTGCATCTTCTCAATCCATTCTCCATACTATAGCCAGGGACATGTTTTATTTCATTTTCAAGTTTTTATTTAAATTCCAGTTAACATACAGTGTAATATTAGCTTCAGGTGTAGAATTTAGTGATTCATCACTTCCTTACAACACCCAGTGCTCATCACAATAGTGCCCTCCTTAAGCCAGGAACATATTTTAATTTTTTCATATTTTAACTAATTGAAACTTAAAAGCTGTGTGTGGATGGTGACTACTGTCTTGAGCAACACAGATCTAAAGCAATCACTTAAAAAAAAAAAAAAAGAAAGAAAACCATACACATACACACACCCCAAAAGGTATAGATTTAAAAAAAAACAAAAAACAGAGGGAATAAAATTAAATACTAAAAAAATGCAGGATTTACCCAAAAGAAGGGAGGAAAGTAGGCACAAAGGAACAAAAAACAGGACAAAAGGAACACAAATACCTAGAAGGCAGACCTAAACCCAATTATATCAATAGTCACATTAAATATAAATGGACTAACTCCTCAATTAAAAGACAAAGAATATCAGTCAATGGGGCGCCTGGGTGGCTCAGTCCTTAGGCGTCTGCCTTCGGCTCAGGTCATGATCCCGGGGTCCTGGGATCGAGCTCCGCGTCGGGCTCCCTGCTCTGTGGGAAGCCTGCTTCTCCCTCTCCCACTCCCCCTGCTTGTGTTCCCTCTCTCGCTGTGTCTCTCTCTTGTCAAATAAATAAAATCTTTAAAAAAAAAAAATATAGCCAAGATTAAGAAAAAAGGAAAGAAAGAAAGAAAGAAAGAAAGAACAACTATATGCTTTCACAAGAAATTCACTTTGAATATAAGGCCTATAAAGTGTGTGCCTGAGAAAGCCGACATGGCTACGCTATATTACACCAGACAGACTTCAAGCCAAGGAGTATTATCGGAGATGAAAAGAAACCTTTTCTCATGGTGAAAGAGCACATGTGACGAAAACTAAAAAAAATCCCCACATTGGAATATTAAGGAAACCACCTCTGAAAAACCTATGAGACAAAAATAAAAATCACAGGAAAAACAGAAAATACTTTGAACTGAATGATAATGAGAATTCAAAATGAAAGTCTGTGGGATGCAACTAAAGCAGAGCTTGGACAGAAGTGCACTGCTCTAAACACAAACATTGGAAAAGGAGAAATACATGAAATCAGTGATCAGACTAAGATGCTCATGATCATTTCAATAAACGCAGAAAAAGGATTTGACAAAACTGAGTGTCCGTTCATGATACAAATTCTCAGCAAAACAGGACTGAAGGAGAACTTCCTCAACCTGACAAAGGACATCTGTGAAAACACCAGAGCTAACACTATCCTTAACGGTGGATCACTGAACCCTTTTTCTCTAAGATCAGGGAACAACGTGAAGACATCTGCTCTGATGACTTCCGCTGAACATTTTGTTAGAAGTCCCACATTGTTTAAGGAGGCAAGAAAAGAAAGGCAAAAGATTTGAAAAGAAGATATAACTACGTATATTTGCAGTTGACATGATTGTGTACAGAGAAAACGATGGATTTATTTAAAAACTACTAGACCTAATTAGTGACTTTAACAAATCTGCAGACACAAAGTCAATTATAAAGAGCAATGTATTTCTTTTTTTTTTTTTTTAAAGATTCCATCCATTTATTTGAGACAGAGAGAATGAGAGACAGAGAGCACGAGAGGGAGGAGGGTCAGAGGGAGAAGCAGACTCC